ATTGATGTTTTAGTCAAGGAACGGAAATCCCTGGTGATTAGGTTGGCGATAGAAAGGATGTATCAAGAAAAAGAAAATCAAAATAAATCCACCCAAGAGTAATGGGAAGGATAAAATTTTTTTCAAAACTATTGTATTAACTAATTTATATTAAATAAAATGTATTATCACGTAGACCATAATGCGGATTTTTGTGTAATTCTTTCACTAATTTCATCACATCGAATGTTCTTCCATTGATCAATCCTTTCTAATATTCTCTTATAGAAGAAAGAAGCACGGTTGAACGTCTATACTGTAATCGGCGAGCTCAGCCGTTCATACAAATTGTTTGAAATACTTCTCTTGGAGGCTCTATATCGCATATGTATCAACTACAAATTATTATATAAATCAATAATCATCTTCTATCAATGGATAATCTTATATGTTAATGACAAAACCCATTTACAGTAGTTTTAGAAAAAAGTTTTTTTTTTACTTTAATCCTCGTAAACATTAAGAAATATCGTAGGTAGTCTCAAATGAAAAATGACACTTGGTCTCTTTATTAAGCATGATTTGAGTAGAGGAGCATCGTCAAATTAGTTTCATCTTCATCGTAACAATATTTTTCGCATGTAGAAAATGTACGCATATGTTGGTATCGCAACCTATTTTATTTTGACTTGTTTAGGATTGAACGAGATTATGCTTTAAACAGAGTATACATTAAGTTATATATGCAAAGGATTCTGTAGATCTCATTGCGTTTTTGTGATCAAAAAGCCTGTACCTACAATAGATTAATTTTCGCGTGGTATAGGTCGTTTTATTGTCGAAGATAAGTGTTTAAAGCTTTGAATACTAATGACCAAATTTAATTAACCGATTATATTCATACTTGTCACTTTTTCTTGAACTAATCACGAAACATTTCTTTCTGCTAAATACTCCACTGCTTAGCTTACAATTAACTCTTTATCTAGTCGCGCTCTTAAGCTTACAAATAATATTATTAAAGATAAAATTAATCAACGGTTTTACGTGTTCTTTATTAATGCTTCTTTTTATTAATCAATTATATCAATTATTATAATGTAAATCTTATTTATGTTCTGTTCTCTATACGCCATTCGTACTCAATTCCCTCCACTAAGACACTAGATAATGTAACACGTCGCGTATCTGCCCCTACTTTTCCCACAACACTAGATAATGTTAAGAAGTTTCTTCGTTATCTCACTGTGCTCCAAGGGTTAATTCTATTGTATCAATCAAAATAGATGTTATAAAAACATTATTGCGTTGTTTTCTTTCATATTTAACGCTAGGAACTTTTCATTATTTTGTTACAATAATTAAATAATTTTAGTTATGAAAAAGTTTTTCAGGGAAATTCTTAAAGCTGACGTTGTGATTATATCATACATTTGCATAATCACACCAATACTTTATCGGTGTCGATAAATTTTTATCGCTGATCGCGTTTCTTTAACCGCAAAAGCATACGTATAAGGATGGAAATCAAATAATTACTGTACACTATGATCTAAAAATGTGTTCTTCCATTGATCAAGTACAATAGCTTAGATATTTATAAATAATAATCTGTAGAAAAAAGAAAGGTTGAAAGTTCAAATCTATTTAGCTAATGTTTAGTGAATCTTCTTTTGATTTTTTCCGAAACATTTCTTCTATCTCCAATCCAACAACATGAAATTTTCGTTCCTCAATTAACTCATCAATGCACTCTTCAAGAACTTCATCTAATTTATCAGAATTTTCTTCGCATTCTTTTAGTTTTTCTAATAAAGCATTTGACTTACTTAAACATGTCTCGACCCTTTCCACAACTTTCTTGCGTCTGTTATT